GGGTGGGGGCGCTGCCGGCTCCCACAAAGCCGCTCCGCTAGCGAGCCCGAGGAAGAGAATGTTGCCCCCTCGCGGGCGAATGAGACTTCCCGTCCCTCAAACGCGCCCCTTGCCTTGCGGGGGGAAGTACCCGGGACAGAACGAAGTGGGAGCTCGACCCCCGCCCCGCCAGGGGATTGGTTTCTTCTGAAGGCTCAGTGACAGAGCAGCACTTCCTTCCTAGCACTTGAAGCCGTGCGCCCGAGGCCGCCGTTTTGGAGGAGGGTGGCACCTTGCACTGACTCCGCGGCCGCCATCTCTGGTGAGGGCAGCGGGATCCACCCTCCCATGCTTCTCGTCTCGGCTGCCATCTTGGGCGAGGGCAGCAATGCTACCCCTCCGCCCCGCGCGCACACCAAGCGTGCTGCATGCCGCTGCTTCCTCTCCATCCTTCGATGGGGTTGCCGTTTTGGAAGAGGGCGGCTGGCTGCCCTGCACAGATCTTTGGCAGTGGCATTGTGTGTGTGTCTCACTCAGGCCAGTGCGTTGTTGGGTGAGGGTGGCACTCAGTTCCCTTTTGGGTGACTTTTCAATAAGGTATTTGCTGGATAAATGGATGTGCAGTGTGGAGACACCTTAGATAAAGAGCCAAATAGGTAAGTATAGAGACAGGCTGATGGGTAGATTAATATCTATCTATATAAAACCTAGAGGCACTGAGACCACTGAGAAGGGAGAGATAGATCTGCTCTACAGCATTAGCTAAGAGTCATTTGGCTTTTAGCCCATAGAATACAGGCATATGGTTTTAGCCCTGAGGTTTCCCAGGATCCATTCCACCAGGCTAGTCACATATAGATTGGGTGAGAAATAACTAGGTAGGGAGTTAGATGTCATAAGGTGAGGCAGCTAATACTTACCATATGGAAAAAAACTTAAAAAACAACTAATAGTCTAGACCCTTGTTTCTCAAACTATGGGTCCTGATCTCTGGGGGTCGTGAACAACTTAGAGGGGGCTCCCAGTATCACAAAGTTTGAGAACCCCATGTCTAGGCAGCATCTTAAAGACTAACAAAACATGTAGATGGTATCATGAGCTTTTGTGTGAGCTCACCATGCCATCCACAAAGTTTTGCTAGTTTTTAAGGTGCTGCTAGACTTTTCGTTGTTTTTTTTAAGTTTTCCCAGTTACAAACTAACTCAACCACCCCTCTGATACTTATGTATGGTCAGTTGTCCAGGTTGCTGTATTTGCAGGCAGATTGCCCCCTTCCCATTCTAGCCACCTATTAATTATCTGCAGTTAATTACCCTAACCCTACAGCAAGAGGGTGGATTCTAGATAAGTTTATGGATGATCATACCCCAGTGAATGTTATGGTTAACCTGCGAGGGCTCGGGAGCTAGTCTGCTTTTTGGGCCTGCTTCTGCCAGGAGCTAAACTAGTCTCCGAACGTTCCACAGGCCTTTCTGTGCCAGGAATTAAGATGGCGGCGATGCCTGAGGGGCGGGGGAGAGGGGCAGTCCCAGTCAGGAGGAAATTGCTTATTGTAAGTGTCAATTAAGTGGATTATCTGGAGTTACTACAATTATCAAAAGGTGGGGAGGCTGTCTTTGTAATGTATAAGGTAATTATCATCTAAGTTAAGGCTCATTCGCAACGTGTTGAATTTTAGCATAAAAAAGAGTTCTGAAGTCTCTCTTTGTAATCTGCTGTTAAAGTCTCTTTGTAGTCAGACACATGTTGTTAGTCTACATTTTAATCAAACTGGCCATTCCCTTAAAGACCTCAGTATACCTTCCTAGACAGTCATTTCCCATTTTGTATGTGTGAAACTGATTGTTCCTTCCTAAGTGGAATACTTTGCATTTATCCTTATTGACATTCATTCTATTTACATCAGACCATGTCTCCAATTTGTCCAGATTATTTTGAATTATAATCCTATCCTTCAATGAACTTGGAACCCCTCTCATTTTGGTATCATCCACAAACTTCATTAGTGTACTCCTTATATTATCTAGCCCCTCCTCTGGGGGGGCTGGCGCTGCCCCTCCCCCTCCCGGGCCGCGCCCTCTCTGCGGGCCGTCGGGCTCCCTGGGGCTCTGCAGCCGCCTGGCTCCCCTCCGGCTCCGGCCTGTGCGGGAAAGCCTTTGTCCCGCACGGCTCCCCCACCCGGGCACAGTGCAGTTCTCCAGTTAGCCTCTAGCCCGGAGCTAGAATTACAGTTTTAAAATGAAACAAAAGACAGGGCTGTGTAGCACTTTAAAGACTAACAAGATGGTTTGTTTATGCTTTGATAAAGTTTCCTCATTTGGAGGCACCATCTCTAAAAACAAGCGATTGTAGCTCATTCAGTCACTGACATTTCCAGAGAAGGAAATGAAAGGGCATACTGGGCCACCAACTTACTAGCTTCCCATGGCTGTTTGCGTGTGTGTTTTTTGGAGAGAGGTTTAAATAGCAGTATTGTTTAAAACTTCAGTTTATTTTAAATTTCAAGTTTGATATGTGAGCTGATATTCAGTGATACCAGCACAACTTAAAAAAATGTGGTGGCTCAGCTAATAACATTTAGATTGTAAACGGGGTGTGTGTGTGTGTGTGTGTGTGTGTGTGCGTGCGCGCGAACGCCTTTAAATTTATTGCCACACTGATTTAAATAGGTTGATGTGGAAGGGGGAAGGCAGGAAGAAGGGATGTAATAGTGTAGTCGATTAACCAATAAGCAAAAGCTTGTCAATTAATGCTGTCAGCTACACACATGTCCACCCTACCCTACACACTACAGTTTTAAGCAGGGATTTATCTTGAAAACTTTTCAGATTAGTTTTACAGCTATATCAGAAAATGAAAGATTGCTTGGTTATTTCATTTACCTAAGGAGCCAGCTTGTGTGGGGAATCTTGAAAGCTGGCTCATCATGCACTGGCCTTTCCCTCCCTCCCTCTGTTGCCTCTGATACAGAGGCAGCAGGGCGGGGGCCTGCCTGTAACTGTGAGGGTTAACCAGTGAGCCTGGTACATATTCACATCCCTAATTATTATAATAATCTTTCACTTTTCCTATACGTTATTTTTTCCTGGCTTGTCTTTCTCTTGATGTAATTAATGATTGTTCATTCTAGCTTTGTAAATGCCTTAAAATAATAATACTTTGCATTCTATAGCAAAGTGCAAATATTTTGCGTACTGTAACTTGTGACATGTGCTTTGCCAGTACAGTTCCTGTTTTGTATTATTTTTACAAATTCACTTTTCAGATGTATCTCAATCACATCGTACTACTTGTTTTGAATTACTCTGTAGTGTTCTTGCAAGCATATTTTTAACCTATTTTTCTGACTTCCTTGAACATCTTGCCAGCAACATGAACTTATTTGTGGCTAAAACTAGGTATTGACTACATGCAGACTTTCACCAGTTTGTTAGTATCTGTTTAAATAAATTTTTCAGTTAAACAGTATACACATGAGATTTTGCACTAATTAATATTTAGTTAAACTAGTTTAACTATAATGACATTCCTCTGTCTTTTTCTTTCCTTCTACACCTCCCAGTCTCTCATTCTCTCTGTCAGAAGTCATTATCCTCTGTGTCACTCCGGCCTGTAATCTGGGGGTTTTCTTTAACACTCCTGCTTTCTTGCCTAACACATCCAGGCTTTGTCTAAATCTTGCTGCTTCCGCTTCCACCCCAAACATTTTTAAAAATCAAACATTTTGAGGCCGTGTTGATTACTATGATTTAGACTCTTAGCATATCATGTCTTAATGATTATGTCCACTTCCTCTGTGGACTATGTAACACTTAGAAGCAGCTAAGAACAACATCTTGGCCCATCATTTTGATTGTGTCAATCCCTCATGATTCCTTCCATTGACTTCCCTGTTTTCCACTGTATCACATTTTAACTCTGTTTTATGTTTTTATCCCATCAAACTCTCCATTCTTTCAATGTCTTAAGGCCTTAAATGCCTGTTCGTCATTTATTGACAAGCTCCTGTGTGCTTTTGTTCACACTGCCTCTCAGGCATAGAATGCCCTCTCTGAACTATTCAGGAAGGTTACTACCTTCTCAGCCTTTGTACTATTTCAAACAGAGACTTACATAGTGAAACTTAGTGGAAATAGCAATACAGTAGCCAGGCTTAAATTTAAAAAGCTCATCTTTATCTAAAATAAACTTTATGTAAACAATATATAAAGGAGGGTCGAAAACTTCTAATGTATCTGCAGAGAGGAGTAAGGAATTGAAGTGTTCTTTTCAGATATTCAGTCCTTAAAGTATATTGAAGTTTTTTCTGATTTGTGATGCCATCATTCATTTCAACATAAATGTTTAGTTTGTTAAATAGTTCTGATTATATTGAATGATCCTGAAATTAACTGTCATAAATTAGCTAAATAACACAGACCAGTGCAATATTATCTTGTTTTTGAGTTTTGTTCCTGACTATATGGATTTATTGGTAAGACAGATACCTTGTTTAGAGCATTATGCTCTTGAAAGGGTGGTGTAAGTGAACTGGCACATGTTCTGGGGTATAGTCTTTCTTTAAAACCTGATACACAACTTTATTTTTAGTGGTGAAACTAGCTCAGCAGTAAATAATTGAATTGGTCTGCCTATGCTTATCTTGCTTGAGCCTCCACTAAAAGGAAACAGCATGTCTGACTTCTGGCTAACTTGCAAATTTTCATGTGATGCTATCTAAAATGTATAATTGAATTTAAAAAAGTGATGTATACATTCAGTAAAAAAGTGTGTATTTTCTCATTTCCCCTTAACATTTGTGTCTTCATTTGTGAGCTCTTCAGAGCTGGGGTCATTTTTTTGTCTGACTTGAGTAGTGCACTACCATATTCCAATTATAAAAATTGGAATTGTAACTTTGGAAGTCAAGGCAGTAGTTTGAGAAATGGGTTATTGACTTCTTTAAAGGCCATATTCAAGTCAGTAGTTTCAAGTGACATGCACCTTTAAGATGTGGGTAAAGGTTTCAGGAATATGCTTCTCCCATGTATCAGAATTATATGAGCCATACTCTAAGGCAGGGGTTCTCAACCTGTGGCCCACGGGCTGCTTGTACCCCAATCAGCATGCAGCTGTAGTCCATATGACATCCTCAGGACCAAAGAAGTAAGACTGGATGCAGCCCACAATGTAAATAGGTTGAGAGCCACTTCCCTGAAGCACTGTTACATCCTGTAATGGTCAAGACTATTCCATGGAACACTGAACAGATCATCTCATTGACTTGTTTAGTCTTACTATGGAGAGCTGTTGGTGATAACACATGCTGTGCTATAATGATACATGGTTATTGACTTAGTGTGGAAGTGGCATTGTAAGGAATTGTATCAACGTAGCATGTAATTTTTTTACTAGTGCTTGAAACAAACATAGCCATATTTTGCTCTTTTGTCTTATAAAAATGGTGCCTCTTATTTGTATATTCAAATATAAATACCAAAGAACACACTGTAGATCTAATAAGGCAGGACTTAAAACTAACATACACTACATACAGTAACACTTGTAATTTATATTGCAAAAATTTTGCATTTTGAGATATCCCAGTCCGTCTCAAAAATGAGATCTATCATTATCCCTATTTTACAGACAGGAAAACTGATTTTGTTAATTACAGGCTTTTCTTGAGCACTCCTCACTAAAGTTGATGAGGTGCTAAGATACTATAATTAATCTAGCCTCACAACACTATTATTGAGGATGGGAACTATTGTCCTCATTTTACAGGTGTGAAAACAGGCCAAAATAAGGGATTTTTTTTCTCATGAAGGTCCCACAGCAAGTCAGAACTCAAACAGAACCCAGATCTCTTGAGTCTCAGTCCAATGTCTAACCCATCTAATTCACAAGACCGATATTTCCCCCAACATTTTGAGGCCCAAGGAGTTTGCAACTTGTCCAAGCTCATGTAGTAAGTGGTAGTAGATCCAGAAATAGAACCATGACTTCTGATTCTTAGTTCTGTGATTCCCATAGTATAATGAATGTACTTACTTCTCTTTTTCCAGACCCCTGCTGGGCATCAGTAAACAGGGGAATTCTGATTTGTGATGAATGCTGCAGTGTGCATCGGAGTCTAGGACGTCATATCTCCCAAGTGAGGCATCTTAAACACACGCCATGGCCTCCAACATTGTTGCAGGTAAAAGCTGAGAATTACTTTCTTATGAGACTTGAAGATAGTTCTTAGAGAATTCTAATGATTAAACTTTCTGGTGGGGAGAGTAGCTGCATTAAGTGCTTCTTGAAATCGGTTTCTTGGTTTCTGTTAAATTACTAGAATAGATTACTAAAGTTAGTGTTACTACCACATTTCCAATTTATAATTAGGGCAGATTAGAACCTGGAACGTAGTTAAAATTCCCATGGTTTAGATATAAAGTTAACTTTAATCAGAATTCTTCAGTGTATACGCTTCTCAAGCTGTCAAGTTGTAACAAGATTGTCTTTTTCAGAGAGCTACTGATAGCGGTCCATTGCTGTGGCTATTTAGGAGATTCTAGTTCTATGCACCTGCCATTTCTGCTTTCATTTCTTCCTTCTCGTATGTTCTGGATTTTGGGAAGCCTCAAATATTCTTTGATAGCTACTTCAATGGATCCTTCCTGAAAAGTTGCTTTGCTCTTTCAAAGCTTAAATTTACATATGGGTTTGTCTATGCTACAGAGACTGCACAAGCACATATACATTGTCACAGCTATTCTGGCATAACCCAGTATTTTAGATATAGCCTACACTGATGGGAGGGATTCTTTTACCACTGGTGTAAGAATAATACCTTCCTGAACAGGAGTAGCTATGTCAACAGAAGTTTTCTCCCATTGACATGACTGTGCATAGTGACCTAGCCCCCAGTGTAGTCAGACAAATAGACAAATATGTGTATGTGAACATTTATTCCCAAAACAAAGGCTTTCTCCTAGTTAATTTAAAGGAGCTATTTTTCTTGCCCAGTATTAGAATCTGGTGTGCACATGAATAGATCTGACACTCCTCCTAGGGCATAAACATATAAGTGTAACCATTATGATTTACCTTAATGTGAGCCTGTGCATGAAATTAAAATAAAAAAAGAGTTTAGGTTAATATTCAGGCAAATTCTATTTTACTTTTAATATAAGGTTAGATTGTATGTGTGTGATTTGTCTCCCTTTCCTTGCTCCAAAATGCACACAATCTTTCTGCTCTGTGCTCCGGTGTTACTACATAAATACCGAAGACAGTGCTTTTCTTAAGACAGGCAGATGCTGTTTTTAGCAACAGAAGATCTCCAACTAGGGACAAGCTATGCCATGCATGTCCTACCTTTTGTACAAACTAAAAAAAAACACTCTGCCAAAATGGGGAGATACTACCCATGCTTCCAGTTCCTACACAATAGGGAGATCTGAGGATTCAACCAGTTGCCTCTTAACCTTACAACAAAATAAAGAACCTGTAAGGAGAAGAGGCTAGTGGATAATGTGCTAGTTTCATGGAATGTAACTAGTTGATGACCTTCCCAGGAATTCTGCCTCTCTCTCCTTTGTGGGTGAGTTTGTCTCAGAGACCAAAGTCTCTGGTTCCCAGAGATAGAGCTGTGGCTCTATTTACACTAGTGAATTTAAAGCAGCATTAGGTGTCCGCCTTCAGGTAGATGCTGCTTTCCCTGCTTGTGATATAATCTGTGAAACTACTTACTGTTAGAGCCCATTCCAAGTGTGGTATAATAATAAAATGAATAGGATAGGTAAACATAGATGATGAACCTCTTTAACTCAGATTGAGGGAGAGGTGCTTACTGAAAAAGGGAAGAGCTGCATTAAGCTAACAGGGCTTGAGACATGTATAATGGAAACTGTAGACAAAATCACCCAAAACCTCTCTTTTTTTATCAAAATAAGGTTTGACAGTAACTACCTTTTAATGTTAATATTTTCAAAAGTCGAACAAATCCTTTCCCTTGGCAACTTTCTGGAGTAGCATAAAAATGCTCTCTACTTGAGAGCACCATCTGTGAACTGCTCTGTCTGTTTAAGTAGTAGTGAAATACTTAATGTCTTTTGCACGCATTTTGGATTTCAGATGGTTGAAACACTGTATAACAATGGTGCTAATTCCATATGGGAACATTCTTTGCTGGACCCTGCATCTGTTATGAGTGGAAGGCGCAAAGCTAACCCACAGGATAAAGTGCAGTAAGTAGAATGTTTATAAAATTATTTGCATTGTCAGGGGCCCCTTTGTAAAAATTTACCTATTTTTGACTAGTTGTGATAAAGGCATCAGCAGATGAATAAAAACCTACTCTTGGTATCAAGTCTTATCAAGGACATTGAATCATGTTGCTGATATGAATAAATCTGAGAAAATCTAGTCTCATGTATTCACTAATTTAACCCTTGATCTGTACTCACAGCAGAGGGAGATGTTGAAAATCTCTAAAGGATACTTTAGCGAATATTTAAGTTTGGATTTCCAAGATTACGTTGAAATGAAATGAGTGGATAGATCTTTTCATTCTCTTACATCTTGTGCAGTAGTATTAATGTATTAATTATGGTCCCAATTGTTGGGTATTGATTTATTTTAATCTTTTAAAGCCTCAAATGTCATCTTTTCCATTTCTTTATCACTATTTTCTTTCAGAAGCTCAGCTGATTAGTTTTAAAAGCAGGTTTCTGACCTGACCTTATTTATTAGTTTTAAGTTTTTGATCCTGAGAGATGCAGCAGCTTTCAGTGAATGCAATAGACGTTGAGGATAACGTTTCAGGATAATTGAAAACAGTAAAGTAACTGTATTATTAGAGTCCAGCTAATCTGTGGACTCTATTTTGTATCTGCGGGTATTACTGTGCCTTACTTTTGCTGATATGGTTGTACATGTGGATACAAATTTTGTATCTAGAAACTTGCAAATTGGGTGGTTATCTGCTTTATAGCTGTATCCATAAATCATTTTTGCAGATGCAGATACCAAGTTTGTATCCACACAAGGCTCTATTTAATACTTTTAGAGTTGGTCCGAAATTTTTTCCCAAAAGTCTCAATTTCAGCCATAATTCTAAGGGGGGGAGGAGGGGCTATCTGAAAATTGAAGCATTTTCAGTTTTTCTATGACCCTCCCCCCAACAAAGAAAATTTTGAAGAAAAAAACCCTTTGATTTGATTTTAAAAATTTCACGAGGAGCGGGAGATTATTTTGTTATTCCTTTCAGTAACAGTGCCCTTCAGAAGGGAATCTGAATTGAACTGTGTGTCTGATGACAATATTTCCAAATGCATTAGTCTGTCGTTTATTATATACAAAAATTCAAATCTGTTGGCATTCTGTATGAAAATATGCTATGTGCTTTATTTTATTTCATAAATGCCAGCATTTATTTTGCATTTCCTTTGCTTTTCTTTCTATAGTCCCAACAAAGCAGAATTCATTAGAGCTAAATATCAAATGTTGGCATTTGTTCATCGTTTGCCATGCCGAGAAGATGACAGTGTTACTGCCAAAGACCTTAGTAAGGTAATGTCACATGGCTGAGGTGGGGTAAGGGGCCTGCCTCACGTCTGTCATGCTGATGAATGCCCCTTTTTCTCCCTAGCCAGTGTCTCTAATTTCGCACCCCAAAGTCTATCTGCTCCTTCCCTCTAGTCTTCTTGTAGGAATCCTATTGAGAGGGCAGCACAGTTCAATAGTTCCCACACGACCCCATGGTCAGAGTCTATTTAAGGGGCAGTAGATAGGGGAAATGTTTATATCCTCATGCAGGGAGTTTCAGGTCCTCCCACTCCACTGGACCCCAGCCCAGTGGCTTGCTCTAACCACTGAGTCACTGGGGAAATTCCATCCACAACATACTGACTCTCTGACAGTGGATCACTCACCCTATAGCTATCGCTGTCCCTGGGCTGCTTCCTGCTTCCAACATCTCCATGCACTCATGGCTCTCCACTTCCCCTTCTTCCTCTGGGATCTGGCTGCCTCCACTTGCTTCTGGAACCTGGGCGGTTTATAGATGTGTCGGGTCTCCGTCTGTGTGGTAGTGTCTCAGCATTTAGGCAGTCATTGGGGTTTGCAGAGAGCTGGCCAGGCATGTCTTCTCCCTCTGGCTGCCAGTCCCAACTAAGTTAATCCCTTCTTGCTCAGTGCGGGGAGAGTATGTTCTATCACAGGTAAGTATTAGGTTTTTTTTCAGGACCAAAAACAGTTTTGCAAGAACAAAAGTTTTCAGTTGTCAAAAGATACAGTAAGACTGATTCCAAAGTCAAATTTCAGAACAGACATTTACCTCACCCCACATCCCCCTTCTGTTCTGAAATTTGGTTTGTCCTTTTCATATGTGTTCATTTTTTTAATTGTATCCTTTGGTATATATGGTTGTGACAATTTTCTTCCACTATTTGATCTGAGGAAGTGGGTCTGGCCCACGAAAGCTCATCACCTGTTAAACCATCTTGTTAGTCTTTAAAGTGCTACATAGTCCTGTTTTTTGTTTCATAATACAAAGGATAACTAGTATCTCTGTGGTGCAGCATTTTTGTGTACACATGTATTAAGCATTCATATTTAACTTTGAAGAGAAATATTTTTCATCAGGGTCTGATTGGCACTAATAGAAGTTATGCCTCTAAAGTTAACTGATCCATATTACCAGAAACTCAGAAAATATAATATGCAAGGACAATAGCTAGGTTTTTAAAAATATCTGTTTCTAATACAATAAAGATGACTTTGATTCATTGTTCTTGTATAGACAGACTTTTAACAGAATCTTTTTTGTTTTCCAGCAACTCCATTCCAGTGTGAGGACAGGGAATCTGGAGACGTGTTTGAGATTACTCTCCTTAGGCGCTCAGGCCAACTTTTTTCATCCTGTACGAAACCTTTTTTTATTAGCTTGGTGCTAGATCAATTTTTAATCTGTCAATATATTTATCATCTGTGTGGTTTTTAATGATATTTTAGGAGAAAGGAAACTCCCCACTTCATGTTGCTGCCAAAGCAGGACAGATTCTACAGGCAGAGTTGTTGGCTGTCTACGGTGCTGACCCTGGAACACAAGACTCAAATGGAAAAACTCCAGTTGACTATGCAAAGTAAATGTCTTTATTTTGATTTTTTTTAAAAAATAATGATAGTTTCTCCCAAGTTAGCTAGATAACCTGACATTTAGTTTCACAATTAAACCTCAGAAGAGTGCGTATCACTGAATAAAGTAAATGTATGCCTAGCAAATAAAATGTCTCCAGTTCTCAAGTCCTCTCTTTTCAAATGTTGGAAAGAACGGATTGGCCTTGCAGGGTCTCAGAAGGTATTTGGGCCTACCAATTAAGTGGCTCTCTAGGGCCAGTAGTGACTCATTTCCAAATTCTCTAGTAAAGAATTTTGTATCCAGTGAGCTGCAGTGGCATAAATGCCTGTCTGATCTCAAGTGCAGCAGTCTTCAAATGAAGAGGGACATCTGAGTACCCAGATCTCAAATGATATTTATTTGTATTCCTGTAGTAAGCCTTAACGTGCATTATGAATATGAAATTGCAGACTAACTACCAAATGAAGATTATATTTCAAACAGTTCAAGTAGCAGCAAGATTCAGAAGTCATGTTGTCTCAGTGCTTGAATTTGTTAGTTTATTTGGAAGTTTTATGTAAGGAGAAACCGAGGATAGAACAAGTCTTCTGTAATAATGAGACACCATGTATCAAACTTGTGCCCACTGCTATTATTCCAATACAAACCAGACCAGGTTGTTTTTCCATCTCAAAAACTGCTCAAAAAGACTATTCTGCCTATTCTGGATAAATTGTTAAGCAGTTTCTCTAACAAAGTGATAAGCAAATCTATTCCATAGTACTCAGCAACTCATTTTGAACAGATAAGGAAAGTCTGATTCCCTTTTAGTATTTACTTCTGAAGATTCTCTTGTGTTTCTGTGACTTTTTGGGAAACAAATCTCAAACACTACATCAAACATGGTAGTGGTCTTATTTCATGTTCACAATGCTAAACTTAATTTTTTTGGATCAATCTTGAATTTTTGCAATTTATAGCTAATGAATCATAAATGAATGTCATGTTCTGTTTGATGTTTAATAGACAAGGAGGCCACCATGAATTGGCAGAGCGCCTTGTAGAAATACAGTATGAACTTACTGATAGGCTAGCATTCTATCTCTGTGGCAGGAAACCAGGTGAGTACAAAAAAACCTATACCAAAAGTGTTATATTTCAATTAGTGATTTTTTTTGAATATTCAAACCAAGAAGAACAATACTCCTGTCATTAATGTTAACACTAGTCCCATTACATCATTTTTAAAAGTCTGAATTCTTTTTAAAATAGGAATTAAGTTACAGAACAGAAAAATGACAAGTCTCAGAGGGGTAGCTGTGTTAGTCTGTATCTGCAAATGCAATGAGAAGTCCTGTGGCACCTTAGAGACTAAACGATGTGTTAGAGCATAGGCTTGCATGGGTAAAACCCATTCTATCAGGTGAATTGGAGTGTAAATTACAGAGGCAGGGTGTGTGTGTGTGTATATATAAAGTACTAATATTACAAAAAAGGGCTATGTTGGCACTCTCCTCAGACCTTTGCTACCAGAACTCCTAGCTATCTTTGAAACACCACTGACTTCTTGAGGAAACTATATTGCATCAGTAATCTTCCTGAAGTCATCATCCTGTCCACCATGGATGTAGAAGCTCTTTACACCAACATTCCACACAACGATGGACTATAGGCTGTCAGGAGTACTATCCCCAATGATGCCATGATACACCTGATGGCTGAGCTATGTGCTTGATCCTCCCCCACAACTATATCCAATTTGGGGACAATTTATACCTTCAAGTCAGTGGCTCTGCTATGGGTACAATATAATGCCTTTGTATAAGTAAATGGTGTGCCTCGCCTATATTCTGTAGTATTGGTCAGCCCCTCTCAAAATAGATGTTGAAGAATTAGAGGGTACTTAGAGAAGAGTAACAAATTATTAGGAGGCAAGGAAAAAACAAAGAGACGGATTGTTTACTTTAGAAAGAAGGTGAATAAGAGGAGACATAATGAAAGTATATAAAATAATGAATGGTCTGAAGAAGGCAATTTTGAGTTTCTGTTCTTTCTGTCACAATCCAAAAGCAAGGGGACATTTTAGTGTTCTTATCGTAGTGAATCGGAATGTGACAAAAGGAAATACTTTCTCAAATAATATGTAACTAACATGCAGAACTTCTTGTGACAGGATGTCATTGAGGTCCACATCTTAGTATATTTCAAAAAAGGATTGTATATTTATATGGATAGTCAAACTATCTAGCATTGTTAGTTAAATGCTAACAAATTCTGGAAGAAGTCTTATGCTTCAGGGCTTAAAACACTCTCTGTTAAGGATTACAAGGAAATCTAATGTGGGAGGCCTATTGTCCTGCATCTGCTGCTAAATTCAAATATTCCCTTTTTGCAATTTGCAGAGCTAAGATCTGTGAACAACTAACGAGTTTTATAGTCTGATAAAACTGAGAAATGTAGGCCTAAGAATGTTTGTTTGCAATGCATACTAAATATTTTAACATTTAGCTTTACTCAATTTCAGATCACAAAAATGGACAACATTTTATTATACCTCAAATGGCAGACAGGTAAGACTGCTGATTGAATAGCATGTATTTGAATACATATCAAATCATTAATAATTGTTACTTTAAATTTTCTATTAAGATATATTTCAATCCTCTTGTCAGTACATTGTTTCTTGTTTGACACATTTGGTCCATCATATGAGTTTTCTACCTTAAAACTTCAGAATCTGAGGCAAAGTATAAAAGGTGAAAAATATCATGTAGCTGGGAGGGGAAAGAAAATACAGAGGTTATGTTGGAAAGGCTACTTGATAATATCAGTAATTATTCTTGAACTTGTATTCTGATTCAGCACTGTAAGACTTATATTTGAAGAAATATTGTGTGTTTTCTAGTAAACTTTTAGAAGTGTTCAGTGTACTAGTGGTAAGAATTTAGGAATGTAAAGATCGTGTATATTTAAAAGAAAAATGAAGTGTTAACTTAACATATAACAAAGCCCATATTTTTCTTTTATTGCTGTGCAATTGGAAATAAGACGGCTGTAAGTAAACAGATTTCAGTTACTTTGCAAACACAGTAATGGATATAACAGTTGCTTTAATTATAAACAGTCAGTCTTCCATTATATAGGTGATGAGTATAGCTTTGTACAATACTTAATGGTGCAGTAGGGCCTTTATCCATTAATATTAATACTTAGCTATTATATAGGACTACTCATCCGTGGCGTTCAAAGCACTGTACATAGCAAGGTGAGCATTTCACATTCTGGACATTGAGCTGCTTTTCTGTCTTTGTACCTAATTGAGCCCTAGTTTTGGAATGGCATAGTCTGACTACTCCCCCTCAGCTCTTGTTAACTTGCTTTCCCTGCCTTCATTGCAGTATGTGTATAGTTTTTACAGATCATACCTTCATATCTTTCTAAGGGGGACTTTTTGACACAATCTGATTCAGTGGTTAGTGAGATTCCTCCCCCCCACCCTTAGCCTCTGAGCCAGGTGTTGGAATGCCTCCAGTGCCTCAGATGCGGTACATTCATGCTACATCCTCTGCACCTTTGAGGTATGGCAGAGTAGCATGAAGAACACCAAATGAAATATGAACAATGCTCCATCTGTGATACTGCCCTCCCAAGTTTAACAGCCAGT